AAAAAAAAAAAAAAAAAGGAATCTCAAAAGTTTGGGGGCACCTGCCCCCAGGACCCTCCTTGGGTCCGCCCCTGGTGTGGACAGTAGAAAACTTGCGGAAAGAGCAGAGTGGATGAATTAGTTAGCACCAGATTCTTGTCTATTTCTTTTTCGTGTCTTCAAATGAAAAGGATTATGTCGAAAACGTGTTGATTTTATTCGACTATCACCGAGGCAGTAATAAAGAGATATTTGTATAATCGACTCTAAATTTAGCCAGACTTCTTTGGGCACAGTGCTTTCGGCATCTTCTAAAGCAATGGCATAAACAAACAAATACTAGAGGAATGTTATGTTTGTTCTCTTTACTATTTTCAGGTCATTTTCAGTTTTCGAAAATACTGAAAACACGTTTTCTTACCTATTTTCAGAAACGAATTTCCAAAAACGAGTTTAAAATTTATAAAGAAAACGAAAAACGCCAAAAAAAATCGTTTTGATTGTTTTTAGTTAAAACAAAGTCAAAACTTCATTTTTTTTACTTTTGTAAACAATTTTTCAAAATAACAAAAAGAATATATTTTCAACAATCTCAAAATAGACACTAAAAATACAAAATTCAAAATAAATTTAAAATTCAAAACTAAAAATTGAAACACGAAAAGCTCTGCCCTCTTATTTTGATAATTTGACAGGAGAGATTAGACAAGCCTCAAGACAGTAATTAATTTGTCACAATCACTGCAAAGGTTTCCGTCAGCATCCAAATTCTGTCAGTTGAGGTCTAAAAGTGAAACCAATTGTCATTTCTGCCGCACCCTTTCATAAGCTCTCGCATGTTTTCACCATGCTCCTATGCAATGTTGAATCGCCTCGTTTAAAAGTTTACATACTTTGCTCCTGTTTGACAACAATTAATTTATTTTATAGTTTACTACATAATCATTTTCAATCACACATTCATATAATAAAATATTTTACACTTACATCAAAAACTTTTTCATTCCATTTAACCATATATTCTTTTAAAAATCACTGTTTAAAACTTTTTTTCTACAATAATGATTGCCAAACAGGCTCTTCATGCACATAAATGTGAGGTAGCATGTTGAAACTTAAGCTCTTAGACATGACGATTCAAAAAAGTTATTATTCGGAGTCTCACCATGTAGAGTATTCATCATCAAGTAGTAGAAGAAGTCACTTGGCAAATTGAAGAAGCTATTTATATTGCTTGAATTAATGCAGCCACAAAGGAAACAACATTACGTCATATAGGTCAAGGATTTCATAATAATCATATAACATTCAGACAACTACTTTAAGCTAATTCATGTATGCAAATTGATTGATAGATACTTATGTAATCATGCTTATTGATAATCTATGTGGTTCGGATTTTCATCTTTGCGCGCTTTTCAACCCCTTATCATTGAAGCCATCTCTTCGAGTAGTAGTACTTCCATCCCCACCACTACCAACATTCGGCAGCACAGTCCCCATTCTAATCTTCACATGTTCAATATAATCCGAGAAACTTGTGTTCGCATTTTCGACACTTACGGGTGTGGTCTCCTTGTCTTTGTTGCCTTTTTCTTGTATAGCCTTATCCTTCGCCGCCTTCCCCATTGAAGACATCCTCTCCAACTTTGGTTTTTCCTCCACTGAAATACGAGGTTTATCTTTCATCGAAGCAACTTTCTCCACTTGGCCATGAGTGTTGGGATCCATTTTACCCTTTAGGCCATGACATTCTCCATTGATCACTGTTTCTTGTTCAGATATCTTAGAAACCCGTTCAGTCATTGGAGATGACCTAATGGAAGGTTCAGATTCAATAGGGATCATTCTGAAGCCTGGTTGGTTCAGAAAGCTAGCATTCGCGGGATTTAAAGTGGCTTGAACCCCGATTTTTGCAGCAGTTTCACTAAACACTGAGGCCTGCACGTTACGCGAAATGGGGCGATTTTTTCCTCCGCCAGAAATTGCATTAAAGATCTTCTCACACGCACCTTCAGAATTTTGGCTCTTTCGGTTTTGTGCCATTGCTGGTTCTCTATTACAGAAGTTTTACTTTACTAAGAAAACAGTGTTGTGGAGAGAAGAAAGGGAAATGCAAGGCCATTTAAAGAGAGACGATTAGTGAAGATTTAGCTGCCTAATCACGATTATCACGTGTGAAGGCTCCCCCATCTGTGAACACGAACTTTTTATTTTTCAAGGGGGATCCCAACCTAAGATTCCCAACTGCACTTGAGATTCTTTCTGGATTAATATGTATATTATAAGAATTTGTGTTAGATGTACACCAAATCTATTACCTAATGGATTACACCCTTCCCACATGAAAAGGGTTTCACGAATATTTAAATGTGTATGGACCCCCCCTCCATGTGAGGGGGTGTAATCCATTATGTAATAGATTATGTACATTTAGACTAATCCATATTATAATCAGTGTTTAGGATGCCGTCCAAGCGTTAGCCACAGGTTCGACTCTGGTAAAGCCTTTTCTCTTTCCGAATGGATTGGTGAAAGGGAGCCCATGTAGCAGCCCCTAAATTTATTGGAAACAAAGCTTAATTTGTTGTTATCTGGAGTTTGGGACCTATTGAACTTCTTTCCCTTGTTCAAGAAAAGATAATACCAATAAAGCTCAAGTAGCAGATCTTCCAGTAAGATCCAGCAATAGACCGAACGGAGTCGAAAAAGATTTACATAACCACTTCTACATTTATTTGGGGCTCATTTGCATTTTTTTTTTTTTAATTTGGAACTATAATTGCAATTGGTTTTTTTCTTTTTCCTCTTTTATTTTATTTAAATAAAAGGGTAAATTCATCATTTCACACCTTTTAGTTGAGAAAATGAATGAGAAGGACATTTTTGAGCAATAAAAGGTGAAAATAAGAATGAAAATGTCAAAAAATAAAAGGTAAAAACGTTTTCCACAATAATAGTTAAAAGTAATGACGTTATGTGCTAATTACCCCTTCAAAATTTATCTGAAACATAGCGTCTCAAGATGACACCGACACTTCGTCGCATTATAGCAATAGGAACTAGAAGCCTGATGTTCAGAGAAGGTATATGATTCCTGGGTGCATCAAAAGTCCTAAATCAGTTGGTATCCGGTTCCAGAGTGCATCAATAATCTTGATTCCAATCAAATTTCAGCAGTGGGAATCTCATTTTCTGATCAGTGAAAGCCAGAACCACATTTAGGAAATGGGATGGAAAAAAGAAATTTTCTTTGGAGGCCGAAAGGAGTAGGCATCATTTTCAATGGCACCAGATTCTTGTCTCTTTCTTTTACTTGTATTGAAATGAAAGTGAAACGTGAATTGGAAGTGTTGATTTTATTGGACTGTCCCGAATGAAAATAGATTATTATAGTTATGGATGATGTGGCACAACGATGTCACGATGAAGTCAGCAATAAGAACCTTGAACTTCTTATAGAAGTGTGTGAAACACATAAAGAAGTGTAGTTTATACCTGAAATCTAGCGTGCGTTAGCCACTAAGAATTTGCACATAACAATACAAGTCAATACTTGGTCATTAGAGTCGAATCAACCACCACATCCCGTGTCTTCAGCGTTCAGTGGCCAAGTTTACTTATCGACCTTATCTTACATGTTTTTAGTAGACTATGCTTGAGGTGATCAATCCAAACTTGTACCATGCTCATATGAGATTTCAAATTTGAATTAAGTGGAACTCCAATCCAATGTCAATTGAAACTTGACTAAATTATGTATGCATCATTTGCCGCTTACGATGTTTGGTAAGGTGAACTATACAATATTGGATGACATTGAGAATAAAAAAAAAAGGTTAAAATTTTGTCTATTGTACAATTCAATCATGTCCAGTATTCGCATAGCTAACATGCACTTCAATTTAAATATGGATGCAAAGATCATATCAGAACCTCCTAAACTAAAAGTTATCCATCCCTGAAAGCAAAGAACAACAGAGCCGTTGAAGTGTAAGATCAAGCAGATTAGCTAAAAGACTTTAACAGAACTGAACTTTTTCGAATCACCTTGGCTCTTTCTCTAATGCACTAAAGCAGTATGCACCAAAGAAACTATGATCCCAAAGAAACAAGACATAACATCTCGATATAGATTTGTTGTAATTCACAGCATATGAAAATATTATTTACAAATGTCAGAAGAAAATCTCAGGAAGTACGCAACAAAAAGTAATTGGACAAATCAGGAAATTTCTCGAGCAAATCCATGGGTAATGAAATTTCTATAAATCCGTGTATAAATGAAGAAAGTTCCACGGAAATGATGAAGACAGCTCACCATTTCAAACTTCGAGCTGAACAGAACATCTTTCCTGTCATCTAACTGTCTTCCATGTAGGTAAGCAACCTCAACTTCCATTCAATGCCGGAAAGTTTTAACTACCTGATCAATTCGTCTTCGACAGAGTGGGCAGTTTGTCAAATGCGAAGAGCATGCCATACAACAGCACATATGACCACACCTGAACATCAGATAGATTGCCGATTAATTTAGTTTCGATTTGTCAATTGGAGTGCGTATGCAATCAAGGTAAACAATTTCTCTATAGTAGCGACAGAATTAGAGATCCAGGTTGATCGTGTTCATCATTTGTACCGAACCACTGTAATTATGGATGTTCTTAGTTCCTTTGGCAACTTTTTAAACATTGTTGAGAAAAAAATTGATCGCATCAACTGCAATTTCCCACCACATATAATTGCATAAAAAATTATATGTTAGCAAAGAACAGAGCCGCAACAGACCTGCCTATTTCCCAAAACTTATTTATCTTCAAACGTGACGTATATGAAATGATGCATATCTTTCAAAAAATATTCATGAAGTTTAATCAAGTATGGAGTCGCACCATGAGATGAAAAACAAAAATATTCATTGTGGCACTTACGGGACAAACACTGAATTGTAATCCTGCTCTAGACATATCACGCACAAATCTGGCATCAGTCTTTCTTTCTTGGTATGATCTGATGGTCCACTCTCAGATTTACCATTTAAACCTGTAAAACGCAAAAGAAGGTAAACAAGCAAAGTTAAAACGCTGAAACAGCACATTTATGAAAGAATAAAAATGTCAATACAATAAGGCACACAGCAAGCTACCTTCTTCATCCTGCCCAGCTCTTTTTGCGGCAGCAGCAAGAACCCTACATGCAGAATGCTTCTTAAAATTAGGTTTAACCAGTCATAATGAACAAAGACAATGCTCCATATAGAGCAACATGGCATACTTGTTTACTATGAATGAATATACTCTACTCAACAATGTGGATATTCATTTATTGGCAGTGAAACACAATACAGGTAAAATGAACCTCAAAACCTAGATGCAACAAGGCACATTGCCTGATTATTTCGAAGAGGAACGCATAAAAATATGGGCGTAAAACAGCCAACTAGAGTTGATTTTGCATTACTCAAGCTTGATTTTAGATCATACTATTCAAGAAGACTGATGAATTCTCAAGCTTAAAAATGTAATAAAAATTGGCTCATTTCAACTGCCAAGAGAAACTTGAAAGAGCTATAGAAACCAAAACTGAGCCAGTCAACAGCTCAAGCTTATTCACAACACCGTATGTAAACGTCAAATGTAATGAGCCAAATAGCTGGTAATTTAACAATTAAGTCAATCGTATAAAATATACACAGAATATCCCCAAAATGAATGGCAGTAATTCTCTTGGTTACTACAGGTTAACAACATACATAACCACTTCAATAGTTTCCTAACCAACCAGTGTTGTCTTACATTATGTTTGGCAAGTGTTTATAAGCCAACTTTTATCCAAACATTTTGTGAAACCCACGAGTACTACACTTATCCACTACTCATTTCTGTTTATTTATAAACATAACCATTTATAAACACCTCCCAAACGAGCTTTTAGTTGTTGATAATAATTTCAGAATATTGGAAAGTTCCAATAGATCTTTTTTAGTTGTTGATAAAAAATATTCAAACGTAAAACAAGGGGAATAAATCAGGAGGAAACTTGAATGTAAATTGCAAGTGGACTGACATATACGAGATCTATGAAACATTAATAGTAGCAAGGAATAACATAACAATTTTAAGAATAAGATACAAAGATGGACATGAATGCTTGAAATATGAGAAAACAATAGTCCAAGACCGGGAGAAAAAAAAAATGAAAAACCGAAAGGGATTAATTCACCAATGCCATGTGGTGGACATACGACACAGTTAAATAATTCTTAGATAACTTCATTGATTTGAAGGAAACATTGTTTTTATACACAGATCAATCTGTGACAATAGATGTGCAAGCCAAATTCCAAAGTGAACAGGTAAGCTTAAATTCTTCTTTATTACTTCAGTAAAATTGTTCTCATGAAACGAAGAACGTTCAATCACCAGCACTATCATTCCATGACAGGGACTGAAAGAATGTATGGGGAAAATGTTTGGGGCTTTTGTAGCCTAAATGTGTCTGCTTGTTCTTTATAACAATAACACGATCATCTTCTTTCAAGCATTATATGCATTATCAATGTACAGTGAACTCTACCTCTTTCGCATTTCCCAATGACGCTTTCTCTCCATGATATACTGGAAAGCATGTTTTGCAAGAAGATAAACCCCAAACACAGTGAACCCCATTGAGGCATACTTATACAACCTGAAAGTAATTTTATATGCTACATAAGAAGAGGAAACATAAGCATCATAACAGGTTTGTGCAAATAAACATATGTCAGAGATATATTGAGAGAGAGAGAGAGAGAGAAGTTGAAAACAGGTTTTTTCTTTCTCAGCTCTTCTTTAATAGTTGAGTGGGGATGCTAGTTGTACGTTTATATCAAGAATAACGTAAAGGGAGACAAATAAACCTTGCCCATTTCCCAAGATTTGCGATGAGCTGATCAATGGTTTTGTCAGAGACATAAAAGGGGCCTTTGTGGGGTCGCTGAATTCGTACTGTTCCAACGTCATCCTTAACGGCCTGATAAAGCAATGAAGTAACCATTAAGGAGAAAGTCAACTGTAAAAACAAAGGACTTTCCAAATATCAAAGAACACTCTTAATTTTACCAAGTACCAACTAAGAATGTGTGATCAGTTGGAGATTAAAATTCAAGGATGACATAAATGTCCTCCAACAAGCTATGCTTCAAGGCCTTTCTGTAGCTCACAATTGTAAAACACCTTCCCCATCCCACTAATCCAAACTCATATCCAAATCAAATTAAAAAAATAAAAATTAAAGCCTCAGTGACCTTACTCTGCACAACAAACAAGTTCATGGATTGGATTACCGTGAACTGAATGTTTCCCACAAATTTTCATCATCTTTTGAAGGAAGCAATTCTCATTATTCATATTTGGAATGTAAACAACGCATACCAAGGTATTCCAAGCAATATAAACTGATACCTTAAAGTTATTATCTAGTTCAAAGTACCAAATACAGTCGCAGTTCGATAAACTCAGCCCTTGTTTTTTGCCATAAATGTACTATGTCATGCATTTAAACTCAATTTGTAAAATCAAAAGTTACTATCTAGTTTTGAAATTGACTTTGGAATATATAAATGAAGAAGATTAATAGGGCCATCTAGAGAAGTATTATACCTCACCAACAACTGTTAAGGGTGTACCAGTTGGAAGAACACGTTCAATTCTTTTGACTCCAAGCATCTAGCAAAGACCATCATAATTGAAAGAGTTGAGCCAACAACATAAGCCCGCTTAATAGCAGATGCAGAATAGAAAACATGAGAATTTATGGAGATCGAAGCAGACCTTCAGACCTTGGAGATAATCCAAAGTTCCACGCACAAGGGACCGTCCTGACTCCTCAAATACCTCACTTCCAACTGTCAGTACCAAACCCGTGGCACCACGGGCTCCAACAACATGGACACGGGCAGCGCCATCATCCTGTTATAAAAAGTGAAAAGATAAAATATAGCCTCTAAAATTACACTTTTAGGTCTGAAGTGATGCATAATTATTCATCAATTTTCATTTTAACATTGTGAGTTTGTGACTACAACCAGCTAGATGTGCCATTGTACAACAAAAGCATGTGCATAGTGCTTTTACAAAAGTGTGCGTTCAGTCTGATCTCGGCAGGGCAAGGCATGGAGAACAAAACCCAATTTTACCAGGTACCAAGGAACTTCTTTGCACATGGAAAGCATCAAAGCTGAATCTTGTATCCATGATCCTGCATCATTGTGTTTCAGAAAGTGCTGCTCTGCCTGAATGAATATGAGAAGAATGCTATGGTAAGAACTACTGACAACTAAGAAATTTTTACTTTATGTATTATCCTGAAAAATGAATCCATGTACCGTTTGCTCCACAATTACGCCCCGTAAACCACTGTACTCACAATTGATAGGTGTATCTGAACCAACCCTCCCAGACACAGTGACTACCAAAGGCAAAACTTTGCATGCAGTATCAAGTAGTTGAGCTGAAAAATGTAAATATCATTAACTTAGAACCTAATATGAAAATTTTTCGTAGTATTAACTTCGCAAAATTATGCAGATTGTGATAATTCAGCTCAAAAAAACTCGAGCTGAAAAGAAAACAGAAGAAAATCATTAAAAAGTTTCAAATTTTGTCAAATTAAATAGTCAGTCGATGTAAAAAGTGCTGATACTCCACCATTATGTTTCACGTTTGGAATCCCCTTTTCAAACATTCCTTTTGTAATTAAGACTTAAAATCGATAATGAAAATTGTTAAGTTCCAGTGCCTTGTGATATATCATAAGCAAAAATTGCATAATTTACACGACCAGACAACTCGCAATTTGCACACAACAATTTCAATCAGAAAACTAAAGCAACAGTAATGGCTCCACTCACCCAATTCCTTTAACTGGTTAACTCGAGTAACGGATTTCAGAACTTCGGCATCCCTGGACATGAAAACACTTAAATTAATTCCAAATTAAACATGAATACAGTTAATTAATTCCAATTAGACATGAAAACATCGAATTAATTCCAATATGGAAATCAAACAACTAAATCCAGAAACATCACAAAAATTGAAAACAAACAGACCTTCCACTGCTCCTACCAAGAAAGTAAAGTGCAGCTGCACTCAAGCAGCACGTTAATCCACCAATTGGAACCATCATCTAATAATTCCAGCCAAAAGTCAAAACATATAAAGACACACACTCCAGGTTTTAATTAATCGAGGTGCAATCTTCGTACACAGAAATTTTAGCAGTATAATGGGAAAAATTAAGATGAAGCAAAAAAAAAAAATTGATTTTTTCCAGAATAGAAAGAGAAAAAGGTGAAATTTTGATTTCTTTCTCTGGGAAAAAGGGAAAGAGAAAAGCAACTGCAAGAGGGAATCCGATGCGAGGAGTGGAGGTGAGGACGAAGAAACTGTTCACGCCTGTGCGCCTTGTTCGATGTACACAATCCTCACATCCCTTAACTAAAGTCGCATTTTTGCGTCGTTAATTAAAGTCGCATACCTTTCTCTACTAGGAAAAATGGAGATGGTCCATATTTCTGTTGTGCACGGCCCAGGATATTATAGCTCAGTTAGAAATGGGAAAAATTAAAAGTTTAATTAAAAATATTTATTAATTAAATATAATAAAATCACAGTTATATAATTAATTGTCATATATATATAATTATAGGTCAAATGTCACATATTTTAAAATTAATTGATCACAGATTATTTCGAGGTCACAAATTTTTAAATTTATTAGTCACAAATTATTTTTGAGTCACATATTATTAAATTTTTAGGTCACAGTTGAGTAATAGGTCACAGATTACCAAACATTTTGTCACATACTACCGCCGCTTGGTCACAGATCACAACTCGACCAACACAAATTAACCAAGCACAGAACACACGACAGGACGAAAACTGAACCCCAACAACAGCAGAGCCGCCACCACCAACAATATATCCGCCACCAATGACCGCAAACATAAACAGCCAATCACCAATCTACCACCCCAGAGATCCGCCAACATCAAACAACAGCCAATCGACCACACCCACATCGTCTAAGCAACACACCCGCACACCCCAACAGCGTCGCATAATGCACCCACTACTACTCCACCGCAAAATCACAACAAAATGAATCAGAACCACAAACCACCACACCCACAGCAGCGTCGCGATTCTGTTGTGGGGTCACAACAGCATCTCTCATGCTGCTGCGATTCGCCATTTCACGTCGCAGTAGAGGGAGGATGCTGTTGCGATTCGCGATTTCACGTCGCAACAGAGGGAGGAGGGGGATGGGGATGGGGAGGATAGGCGAGGTGAGGCGAGGCGAGAGAGAGAGAGAGAGATTAGGATTAAGAGTTTTTATATATCATCTGATTTTTTAAAAATGAAACTTGATTCTTGATTTTTAAATTTGAAATTTTGAACACCTGCCTCGAAAGGGGTTTTGATACTGAGCCCAGCCCAATAATAACTGGCACGACGAACGACGTCGTCTAGAAGATCATTCCATTTCTAAAACAAAAACCCCGTATTTCCTAAACCCCCTAACCACCCATCTCACACACAAACACTCGCTCCACATTTTTCTTCATCGGAAATGGCTTCGTCAGCATTTCGAAACCCTAATTCGAGGCGCGTATGCACGCTGACTCCGCAAATATACTCCTCCAGCTTCCGAGTATCAGCTGCCACTGCGCCGTTCTCAGTCTTCGAATCGCCGCTTTCTTCCAGTGAAATCCCCTCTGTTTCCAACCCTTGGTGGAGATCAATGGCTACCTTTACTCGCACGTAAGCTTACTAATGTGTAAATAAGTACAATCCACGTCTAGATGTCCGTGTAGAGTCAAATTACTGATATTAGATGAGATTCTCCTTATTTCATTTCGCTTTTATGTTTTCTTTGACTTGTTCGGTCAAATGGCGTAATTGTATTACAGCAAAAGACTTTCTGGGTTAGATATTATATGAAACCAATATGTAAAGATCGTGGATTGTTTTTTTCTCTTTGGATATTTGAAGAGGGTGTTGGTTTGTTATAAATATCTGATGTTTATTGGAACATTGAGGGGTTGCTCAATTGGTCGAGCCTTGGGTTTGCTCCCCAATGGTCATTAGTTCGAGTCACTCAGGGCACTGAAGTGAGTACCCGGCCATAAACTTCAGGCCGTGGAATTAGTTGAGGCACGCGCAAGCTGGCCGGACATCCACGATTATCAAAAAAAAAAAAAAATCTGATGTTTATTGGGTGAATTCAGAATTAAATTTTTTTAGTTTAACTGTTTTAATTTAGTTGATGTATTGCATACTGGCAGAAAACCTCATGTGAATGTGGGAACAATTGGACACGTTGATCATGGAAAGACTACCTTAACGGCTGCAATCACTAGGGTAATGTTAGCAGAAACATTTTGTTCCCCCATTTTTTAAACTTTCATTTCTTTTCTTAATCAATTGTGAGTTCTTAAACTGTAGCCGTCTTTTGGATTCACATGGACTCTGAGATGCACTTTCTTGGATGTAATATAGGTCTTATCAGAAGAAGGGAAGGCTAAGGCAATTGCTTTTGATGAAATTGACAAAGCTCCCGAAGAGAAAAAGAGAGGAATTACTATTGCCACTGTTGGAATCTTTTCCCTTGTTTCATCGTCGCTCATTAGATTTATCATTTATTTTTTCCTGCAGCATCTTTATTATGAATGTATAACTTAATTTTGCAGGCGCACGTGGAATATGAGACTGCAAAGAGGCATTATGCTCATGTAGATTGCCCTGGACATGCCGATTATGTTAAAGTGAGATCTAAAATCTACCATTTAGTTTTCTGAAGTTTCTTTGTTTTCCTTTTCCATGATTAGAAGTTATGATAATGGCTTGTGATCATGTGCGTTTCTATGTAAGTACTTGGATATATCATTGAGAAGGTGCTAGTTGAGACATTTATGAGATTCAAATTAGAAAATTACCATAGAGGACCGAACCCTCTATGGTAAGCCCACCTTGGAACTGCAATGATATACGCAAGGCCAGGCACCTTGAATGAAAAATATCTCCTCTACCATGTTATATTTTTTTCTTCATTACATCACCTTTGTAATACATCTTTTATAGTCCCAATCAGTTCTTTTTACTCAAATCAGCCCATTCAGATGCATCTCTGATGTTGAACATATATCCTACATATGGATCCACCGTCTCAAAACACATTTCAAAACCACTTTCCGAAGGAAACAAAAATCTGAATCCCATGGGATCCATTCTACTCGCGAGTTGCAAATATAATAAATCTGAAATTATTATTACAATAAGGAAACTTTGGAAAACTAGCTGAACATATTGGTATTGGCAAATTAACGTGCATTCACAAATTTGAAATTTTTTTTTTGGAAAATATCATTTGTTAGCATGTGCTTGATGATTTTGTTTGCCAAAATTATGATCTGATGCGTTCCATCTTCTACTTTTGATCATATACAGAACATGATTACGGGAGCTGCTCAAATGGATGGGGGTATTCTAGTTGTTTCTGCCCCAGATGGGCCAATGCCGCAGACAAAAGAACATATTCTATTGGCACGCCAGGTTGCTACGATGACATAAGATTTGACAATTCTAGAAAACCACAGTATCGAAGTACAGTATTCCAGTCCTCATTTTGTTTTCCATTATTTATTTCTGCACGCAATGCAGGTTGGTGTACCTTCACTTGTGTGCTTTCTTAATAAAGTTGATGCTATCAATGACCCGGAATTGCTGGAGCTTGTGGAAATGGAGCTACGGGGTCGGCTAAATTTTGAGTCTGATATTCTATATACATATTTGGAACTGCGACTCTAATTCTTTTGTATGATCTCATCATATTTGTAGAATTGCTTAGCTTTTACAAGTTTCCTGGGGATGAAATACCCATAGTTCAAGGATCTGCTCTGTCTGCTTTAGAGGGTAAAAATGAAGAAATAGGGAAAAAGGCTATCTTAAAACTAATGGAAGCTGTAGATTCATACATTCCTGATCCTGTACGTCAGCTTGATAAGCCTTTCCTGATGCCTGTTGAAGATGTTTTCACTATTCAGGTAAACCAGATATGCTTTATATATTTGATTATGTCATGCAAAAAACTGTCCTCTTGTTGAGTTCCTTTCTCGTTCTTTTTTATCTCCTGACATTTGTTAAATTATACTTAGTAGTTTTTAGTCTAGGCAGGGGGATAAATTTCTTGATTTTGCTGCAATACTAAATTGTTACTATGTTATTCTTTTGGTTAAGCAATGTCTCTGTTTGATTTTTAAGATGCTAAACGGCTTGGAAAATGTGGTTAAGTAGGTGCTGTCCAATGATAATGAGATTAAATTTTTTGTCAGTGTATTGTTCTCCTTGTGTTGTCATATTTTGACACTCTTTTCTTGGTGTCTCGAAGGGCCGTGGTACAGTTGCCACTGGCCGTGTAGAACAGGGCGTGATCAAACAAGGCGATGATGTGGAGATTTTGGGGCTTACACAGGTCATTACTATCCTGATCTAGAAGTTAATTTCTTCTGACTTTTATTTTATTTTATTTTATTTTTTGTCATTTAATTGCGGCTGGTGTGAAGTTAATTTTTAATGGGTGGATGGTCACAATCCGACCTTTTAAACCTATACTATTACTGAGGCATCTATTTCATTTGGATTCAAGTTTGTACTGCTAGGATTCACCAAGTTTACTTCCACTTGTTTACTTCATGAGTCAAGTATAGGAGGGTTCAAATATCAGCTTTTGAAACAAGAGGAATAGTGGGCACTATCGACATTAAACCTTCATCATCTGCACCTGCAAAGAGTGGAATGCTGAAGCTGACTTCTTAGAGAAACTGAAAAATGATCTTTTATTTTTTTGAATGAGGCCACCCCCTGTTCCTTATTTATTAGTATATGGGGAGAAGTAGGAGGAGAGATAATGGAGAGCCAGAGAAGGTAAAAGTAGAATTGTATAGATCAGTATGGTGCAGGTAGGTGCTCAAGCTCAAGATGACATACCTTAGTGTTCATCTTAATTATTAAGGAAGAAAGTGAAAAATCATGATAAATGATTGATGATGTACATGGTATTAACTTGCTAATTTGCTTCCACAGATTGCCTAAGATGTTGATGTTCGATTTTTAAATTTGAGGGCACATGTGAAACGAGTTGCACATCACAAATTTTGGTTCATATAACTGATTGGTCCTCTAGGTTTTCGTGTATTTGATTATGTCAATGATCAGGTTGGATGTGGTGAAGCCTCTATCTTTATGTAGGTTCTTGATGCACTTTCACCTATCTTGATGTAGGTTCTTGATGCACTGAGGCCAACTCTACCTTGCCCTTCCCTCCTCTTGAATTCATATTTGTCATTTGTCAAATTTTTTTTTTTTAAATCCTACTTTATGCTCGAACTTTATTTGTTATATGATTAATTTTTCTTTGTAATTATACTACATGCCAAATTTCTTCTATTATGCTACTAACTTTCATTTTTGTGCTATAGAACCCTAGGAAAACTACAGTGACTGGTGTTGAGATGTTCAAGAAGATTTTGGATTTTGGGCAGGTAAAGGATTCAGTTACTAGTTGTTACTTTTACCTGAATTTCATCGTGCCACTCATTACAAATCTTATCTTTTCCTAGGCTGGTGACAATGTGGGTCTTCTTCTACGTGGCTTGAAACGTGAGGATATCCAACGAGGAATGGTCAGTGTCACTGATTATTTTCTACGATATAATAGTAGTATTCTATGCTGTAATTTACCTGGATGGGACACCGAATACTGCTTGTAGACTTCTAATCTTCAAGGACTGCTTGTGTGGAAATTTAGTGAGCACACATTTCCACTTTAGTGTATTATTGAGATGCTAAGGAGTGGGTTTCTACATGAATGTTAAGAAGTGCTGCCAGTCCGGCCTTTGGAATTACATGATAAAAGTAAAATCCCCCAGGGAAATGAACTATTTCTGCTGATCTTTGTTGTTGCAGGTGATTGCAAAGCCTAACACTATTAAAACATACACAAAGTTTGAAGCAGAGATTTATGTGCTCACAAAAGAGGAAGGTGGTCGCCATACGGCCTTCTTCTCAAATTACAGACCGCAATTCTACATGAGGACGGCTGATGTTACTGGTAAAGTCGAGTTGCCCGAAAATGTTAAGATGGTTATGCCAGGGGACAATGTGACAGCTGCCTTTGAGCTGATATACCCAGTTCCACTAGAAGCAGGTGTGCGTCCTCATTTTTATAAGACGTGGAAAAGATGTTGCTGAACATGCGTGTTCTGTTCCAGATTTATTTAAATGGTCATAAAGATTTTACACTCTCTGATTTCCTGCTTATTTGATCATTTTCTTTTCTGAAAGTGGAATTAAATTGTGATGAGGTATTCTCTTTGTGACTGCTATCTGCTCGATACTTGCTGAAGAATGTATCCTGTGCACAGGTTTTATGAACTCTAGTGCTCGATTAGAAAAAGCCTCGAATTGTTTTGAGTAATGCTGTTCTGTTGTCTTCACTGAAATGCACCTATGGTCATTTTCTTATAATACTTCAGTTGCCCAATCTTTTCAGTTCCTCATCCCATATTTATTTGTTTATTTTTCTTTTGGCTTTGGTCATGCGTCCTTCCTAGCACTTTCTAGTCCTAATATTTGCTTCTTACTAGTCCTTTTTAAAAGAAAAACCATGAAAAAACTTTCTTGTGCTAAGAAGGGTTTTTTTGGCAATTCTAATTTTCAAGTGACATGATACAAATTTAGTTTGAAGATCTAATTTTTATTTTGTGATATTCAAATTCCAACAGAAATAATGCTGCTAACCACAAGGAAGCCATTGTTCCCTCTTCTCTTCTTACACGACTATAGTTCTTAAAGAGAATATCATTTTCAAGATTCTATTTTACCCTTGCTATTGAACTTGCGCTGACAAGTAGCAGA